GACATAATTTGACAAAACTTGTTGACAATATTATGGGGACATAATTTGACAAAACTTGTTGACAATATTATGGGGACATAATTTGACAAAACTTGTTGACAATATTATGGGGACATAATTTTACAGAACTTGTTGACAATATTATGGGGGCATAATTTGACAGAAGTAGTTGACAATATTATGGGGACATAATTTGACAGAACTAGCTGACTATGAAGGGAAATTTGACAAAGCAAAAATGTAAGGACATCTGACAGATTTAGCTAACAATGTTATGGGTACATTTGACAGAATGTAATGATAGTGTAGGAACATTTGACAGAACTATTTAACAATATTTTAGGGACATTTGGCAGAACAAGGTGACTATATAAGGTGACATATAATTTGGCAGAAGTAGTTTACAGTGCTGTGACAATGATGTGGTCTTTTTTTACGGGGGTGGGGGTGCCATAGGCTGTGTGTGTTTGTCAATGTGTAGATGATGTCATATCGTATATGGGTATGTAGATGACATCATGTCGTCGTGGGTGTAATTACAGGTGACGTCATGTCGTCGTGGGTGTAATTATTTATCCCGTCACATGTCGTCGCGGGTATAATTATAGATGACGACATGTCGTCATTGGTATGTGCATAACGTCATGTCGTCATGGATGTGTACTTTGACGTCATAGCTATGCACATGGCGTCATGTCGTAGGTGTGTTGTTAACGCCATGATGTTATAGCTTTGTCGTCGCGGGATATGTAGGTGACGTCATAACTGTATGCCTATGTATATGACGTCGTTTTGTCGTCGTGGGATATCATGTGGGTTTGACGTCATAATGGTCTAGCTGTGTACATGACCTCATGTCGTCCTGGGACATCATGTAGATTGACATCATAACTGTATGCCTATGTATAATATGATATGTCGTCGTGGGATATAATGTAGTTTTACGTCATAACGGTCTAGCTGTGTACATGACCTCATGTCCTGGGATATGTAGTTTGACGTCATAATGGTACATGACGTCATGTCGTCCTGGGCTATCATGTAGTTTGACGTAACGTCCTCGTGTTGTGCTCTCACCCAGGCGCGGGTCCACGAAACAGACAAGGTAACTCACATTTCGGAATGGTCTTCCTCTGTGTCTTTCTCTGTGTAGTTGTGTGCTTCTTTTTTTTTTTTTTTTCCCTTTGTTTTCCCCACTCGGGCGCCTGTGCGCGCACGCATGCTCGCTCGCTCGCTCGTGTGTGTCGTGTGATCTGTGTTGGCCCTGTGTGTGTTGTCGTCCTTCTAGTAGATGCATGTTTAGTTATTTGTGGGTGGAGAGAGAGAGAGAGCACTCTTGTGTTCTCCCCCCCTCTCTCCATCCCCCCGCCCCCTTCTCTCTCTCTCTCTCTCTGTCCCTCTCTCCCTATCTCTCCATCTCTTTCTCTCACTCTCTCTCTCTCCCTCCTTCTTTCTCTCTTTCGCTCCCCTCTCTGTCTCCCTCTTTTTCTTTCTTTTTTTGTCTTAGTCTGTCAGTTTCTTTTAGTTTCTCTCCCTAATGCACTCTCTCCCCCTCCCCTGTTCTCCCCATGACATGATAGTGCATGGCAATGTCTGTCCGCCTCTCTCTCTCTCTCTCTCTCTCTCTCTGTCTCTCTCTCTCTCTGTCTCTCTCTCTCTTTTTTTTTTCTCTTTCTCTCACTCTTTCTCTCACTCTTTCTCTCTCTTTTTCTCTCCCTTACTCCCTCCATCTCCCCGTTGTCCCCATGGTATGGTGCATGGCAATGGCAGTCCTCCTTCCTCTGTCCCCCCACACATTGCATGCCACACACTCGCCACACGTTGCTTTCATTCCAGGCTTTCTTTGGTGTGTTCTGAACGTTTTTTTTTCCTTTTTGTCGTGTTTTTTTTTTTTTACCTCTCTTTTTTTAAAGGAATTTTTCTCTAGCCATATGTCGTCCTTTTTCTTTAGTCATGACTGGAATGATCTCTCTCCCTTTTGTAGTGATTTGTTTTTTTCTGTTCATGTGAGGGTCTCGTTGCACGTTGCTTTTTCTAGTTTGGTAGCACTAGAAATTATACTCGTAGTATAGTCGTAGAGTAGTGTTGTTCTTTTGAGTGGTTTGCAGTTAGTAGTCCAAATGGTCGCTTTTAAGGACAAGTCGTGGGCTAACCCAGATTTCGGGGGTTTCCAGAAATCTTGGCCTACGCCAAAAGTGGGCATTGCTCTACCTATAGGAGAAGTTTGGTTTCATTGGTGTGTATATTTTTGTTTGGTTATTGAGAAAAATCTCCTTGTCTTTTGAAGAATCTGAACGAGGGTAAAAATACTTTACCTTCGATTTTGTCACTCAAAACAGCATTTTTCGAGACAGCCCACTTGTGTTTAAAAGCGACCTAGTATAGTATAGTCGTAGTGTTGTTCTTTTTAGTGGTTGCTGTTGGTAGTCCGAATCTTCCTGCACATTGGTCACTGTTTATTATCTACTCTACACACACCCCCCACCCTCCAC